GACAAATTAACAAAAACAAATAAATTACCTATTGTTACTACTATATTATAAAAAAAACCCAGCTCAGGGGAGTCGCGGCACAGTAGTGGCGTAACATAGTTGGATCAAGTATAATGATATCTGACAGTGATTAAAATCACTATAAAAAAAAAACGCTTCTATACAAATCTTTAGATAGTTTTTAATTATTAAAAATTAGTGGATTATTCCAAAAGCTACATGATATGCTAGTTCCTTATTAATATCCTGATTAAGATAAAGTATGTCGCATGAAAGAGGGATTATTAAAAAATATTATTTCTCATAAAAAAATTGTGTGGATCCATAAACTTTTCAATAAGTTATAGCATTATAAAGTTAAATATAATATAAATAATAAAATCGAGAATTTTCACACGAAAATAGCATTTGGTAGCCATTTTCACCATGAAGACAAGTCCAGAGGTCAAATTTTTTTTTTTCAAATTAAAGTATATTACATTAGCTTTAATTTAAGATATATATAAAAGTGTCAGACCTTCCGGAACATTTTCAAAAGTTATGTTGAAAAAGTAAATTTTTTGTGAAAAAGTTGTCATTTTAAATCCCCCCCTGTGGGCAGGTTAAGTGTCAGATTTACAAAAAAAATATACCAAATGATAAGTAAAGACATCAAGCATCTATATAAAAAAAAATTATATTGATATGTTCATTTTTGAAAAAGTTAGAGCATTATTAAGTTAAAAATATAAAAAAAAATTATTTTACAAAAATCGTAATTTTTTATTAACTTTGATGTCAACTTTCACCATGAAAACAAGTCCAGAGGTCAAATTTTTTTTTTTCAAATTAAAGTATATTTTATTAGCTTTAATTTAAGATATATATAAAAGTGTCAGACCTTCCGGAACATTTTCAAAAGTTATGTTGAAAAAGTAAATTTTTTGTGAAAAAGTTGTCATTTTAAATCCCCCCCTGTGGGCAGGTTAAGTGTCAGATTTACAAAAAAAATATACCAAATGATAAGTAAAGACATCAAGCATCTATATAAAAAAAAATTATATTGATATGTTCATTTTTGAAAAAGTTAGAGCATTATTAAGTTAAAAATATAAAAAAAAATTATTTTACAAAAATCGTAATTTTTTATTAACTTTGATGTCAACTTTCACCACGAAGACAAGTCCAGAGGTCAAATTTTTTTTTTTCAAATTATAGTACATTACATTAACTTTAATTTAAGATATATATAAAAGTGTCAGACCTTCCGGAACATTTTCAAAAGTTAAGTTGAAAAAGTTGTCATTTTAAATCCTCCCCTGTGGGCAGGTAAAGGGACAGATTTATAAAAAAAATATACCAAATGATAAATAAAGACATCAAGCATCTATATAAAAAAAAATGATATTGATTCGATCATTTTTGAAAAAGTTAGAGCATTATTAAGTTAAAAATATAAAAAAAAATTATTTTACAAAAATCGTAATTGTTTATTAACTTTGATGTCAACTTTCACCACGAAGACAAGTCCAGAGGTAAAATTTTTTTTTTTCAAATTATAGTACATTACATTAGCTTTAATTTAAGATATATATAAAAGTGTCAGACCTTCCGGAACATTTTCAAAAGTTAAGTTGAAAAAGTTAATTTTTTGTGAAAAAGTTATCTTTTTAAATCCCCCCCTTGTGGTCAGATAAAGGGTCAAATTTACAAAAAAAATATATCAAATGATAGGTAAAGACATCAAGCATCTATAAAAAAAATTATACTTGTTTATTTTTGAAAAAATTATGGCAGTTTTAAGTAAAAAAACCCAGCACAGGGGGGTCGCAGCACAGTGGTGACGTGGCATAGTTGGATCAAGTATAATGATATCTGACAGTGATTAAAATCACTATCAAAAATAAACGCTTCGATGCAAATCTTTAGATAGTGTTTAATTTTAAAAAAATTGGTGTTTTATTCCAAAAGCTACTTGATCTGCTGGTTCCTTATTAACTCGATTAAGATAAAGTATGTCGAATGAAAAAGGGTTTATTAAAAAAAATTATTTCTCATAAAAAAATTGTGTGGATCCATAAACTTTTCAATAAGTTATAGCATTATAAAGTTAAATATAATATGAATAATAAAATCGANTGTTAAAAAATGTAAAATATAATATCAAGAATTTTTTCACAAAAATAGCATATTTTTGCATTCGGTAGCCGGTTTCACCATGAAGACAAGTCCAGAGGTCAAATTTTTTTTTTTCAAATTAAAGTATATTACATAAGCTTTAATTTAAGATATATATAAAATTGTCAGTCTTTCCGGAACATTTTCAAAAGTTAAGTTGAAAAAGTTAATTTTTTGTAAAAAAGNGTGTCAGACCTTCCGGAACATTTTCAAAAGTTAAGTTGAAAAAGTTAATTTTTTGTGAAAAAGTTGTCATTTTAAATCCCCCCCTGTGGGCAGGTTAAGTGTCAGATTTACAAAAAAAATATACCAAATGATAGGTAAAGACATCAAGCATCTATATAAAAAAAAATTATATTGATATGTTCATTTTTGAAAAAGTTACGGCAGTTTTTAGTAAAAAAAATTGAAAAATTTTCGAAAATTAGCGATTTTTAAATTTGTAATTTTTTTGGAGATTTCCCCCATTTGGGTGAACGAGGGAAAATTTTTCAATTTTTGAGGTTAATGTCTTCGACTAGAAACGATTTGTGATCTTTTGACGTATCATTGAAAGAAATCAGTCCAGTGAGAGCTGAGAAAAAGTAGTGACAGACATAAAAAAAAAAAAATAATAAAAAATAAAAAAATAAACACATCATGGTAAAATTAATACCTTCTCAGCTTCGCATCGAAGCTAAAAAAATCACATCATAGTAAAACCAATAACTTCTTCTCAGCTTCGCATCGAAGCTAAAAGAAACAGATTAAAGATAAGATTTATCAAAAAAATTTTCATAGAGTATTACTCAATGGAATTTTGTAATCAACTAGATTCTTATCAACGCAGATACTTTGTAGTTTGTTATCATTTGTTGAACAAGAGTTAAAAAAAATTTACCTACACCACGTTTGGAGTAACTGCTATTTCATTTATTATTACGTCTAGAACGTTATCTTTTTCAAATAACGTTTTCTATGAATATAAAAATGATAATATAGCTATAATAATAACTGTATTACCCAATAATAATCACAAATTAATAATAATTTCAATGTATATAAGACCTAGCACGTTTTTGATAATTTGTAAAAATAATTGAATTTTAAATTTAGAAGGGCCACATTAAATCTAAGGGGGGCAAGACCCAACCATGTCTACATGCCTGCTGGTATTAATTTTACTATGATGTGTTTTTTTTTTTTGTCTGTTATCACTTATTCTCAGCTCTCACTGAACTGATTTCTTTCAATGATACGTCAAAAGATCACAAATCGTGTCTAGTCGAAGACATTATCCTCAAAAATTGAAAAAATTTCTCTCGTTCCCTGTAAATAGGGGAAACTTCCAAAAAAATTACAAATTTAAAAATCGCTAATTTTTGAAATTTTTTATATTTTATTTACTTAAAACTGCCATAATTTTTTCAAAAATGAACAAATCTATATAATTTTTTTTAAAGATGCATAATGTCTTTACTTATTATTTGATATTTTTTTTTTTATAAATTTGGCCCACAGGGAAGGATTCAAAATGACAACCTTTTCACAAAAAATTAACTTTTTCAACTTAATTTTTGGAAGTGTTCCGGAAATACTAACACTTTTCTATATACCTATAAACTAAAGATTATGTAACAGATTTTAATATGAAAAAAAAAATTTCGTTCTTAATATTGTCTTTAGGGTAAAAATGTCTATCGTATGCTATTTTTGTGTTATAATTTTCGATTTTGTAATTTATTTTATTTTAAAATACCTTACAAAAGTTTTTGAGATTGAAAAAAATTTCTAATTTATTTGATTTTTATCTCATTTAAATTCAAAAACTTTAATAAATATCTAGGTCTCCATCTCCGTAGTTCTCCTCCCATTTGAAAAAATTTCTTATTCATATTAAAGTTTTTTTCTATATGATTTTTTTTTATGGCTCTCATTTATTTTCTCAGCTTTTACTTGACCAACTTCTGTTAACGATATATCAAATGATTATAATTAATACACTCAATTGAGTAGATTTTTTTAACAAAATTTTGATTAGTTTTTTTTTAGTTAAAGTAAATCATTAAAATTAATTATGTTCTGAATATTTCAATTGTAGAATATTTTTAATCACCGAAAATTACTTAAAAATGATTAATAAAATTTCTATTTAAGTGATCTATTAAAATTAAAATGAAGAAAAAAATATTGAGCCTTTCTGATAAATTTACAGTACATCGTAATTATACAATTTCCTGCCTGCATATTAATCTTAACAATACTATTTTTTTATTCTCATAAATTTTTTATAAAATTTAATAATGTAAATTTCAAACTCGAAGTTGAGCTTAAAGTTATGGTAACAAAATTCAACTTTTATTTATTATAAACTTTCAAAAAATCATCTTTAAAATACCAAAGTTCTGTGTCAAGCACATCAATATTTATACACGTTTGCCATAAAAGTAATAACTACTTTATAATTTTTTATAAATTCTTCAGAAAAATTATAATACTAAATTATTAAATGTCAATATCATACTACTTTGAATTGCTTTAATAGATATTTATTTATAAATTATAGTTATAAATCAACTACTAATTAGGAATAATGATAGAAATAGGAATTAATTTTGCTTTTAGAAAAATCAACCAATTTCATAAAATTAAACATTATATACAAATTTCATAGAAGGGTTTTATATGATAGTGATTTTAATCACTGTCAGATATCATCTATAATGGACCCAACTATACAACGTCTCCACTGTGCTGGTTGGTTAAAGAATCATTAGGTATAAATAAAAAATATAATAAAATTTTATAAATCTAAACATTTGTAGATATATTTTTAGAATAGTTTAAAAAATAATACAAAAACTAATTGGAACGACATAATTATGATATACTTATTCTATGAAAACTATGCTTTTAATTAATAAAAGTACATACAAAATGTTACTTTATAATTAAATAATAATCTAATGTTTCAAATTATTAAAAATAAAAAGTTTGTTTTAACAGATATTTTTAAAGAAAATATAGTTACTCTTAAGTTGAGATGATTTGACAAATTTTCAAATAATTTAAAAAGACTGATTAAACAAAAAATTAAAAAAAAAAATTAGTATGGCCATTTACTCCAATGTATCATCAGTTAAATAGTTGAATGAAAATCACTGTTATCCAGTAAATCTAAAATAATTGCGTTAAATCTTTAATGTATCTGGCTAGTGGAGTATATTATTGGCTAAATGATAATGATGGGTTTCTGTTTAAATATTGAACGTCATCCGTAAAATTAAAATCATCAAATTCAGTTGACTTGGAAGAATCTAATTCATTATCTAGTTGAAAGTTTTTTTCAAAAGAACCAGTGTTATCTACATCATCATAATCTGTTATTATGGTATATATATTGTAATCAGGCATAACTTCATTGTGTAACAAATTACTTCTGTCATTGTTAGTGGAAAATTTATCTCCATACTCTGAAAATTGAGATGATAAAATATTATTGGTTGAATATCCAGGGAAATTTTCAAGTGCACTTGTATCATAAGGCTGTTTATTAACTACTGAATTAACACCATTGTGGTCATTATCCAAGCCATCTTCACTGAAAGTAGATTTCACATTAACATTATAAACATTTGGAAGGGATGCCACAAAAGAATTTGGTGTAGAATATAACACATGTTGAGGGCTTATATTGCTATCATAAGATAGATTAGGATTAACAATGGGTAAACAACCACGCAAAAGATGATTTTCATTAATATTATCCACAAATGAGATATCCAAAGGCAATGATTTATAGACTGATTTATTGATATCATCTTGGTTGATTGGATTTATCAATGGGACATTACTAACTGAATTTAAATTATCATAGCTAAATTCTTTATGACCAAAAAAAGGTTTACCATATTGATTTTTAATATAAAGATTAGAATATTCATTATCAAAACTACTAAAATCTATGTCAGAACTACCACTATCTGTTTCAAATGATGAATCAAAACTAAAATGATCAGTGAGGTCTTCAAATGACCTAACATCGTTTTCATTAAACTCAATTGAAGACGATTCTAGTGATTTAACACTGCCGCTGTTATTATTTACGAAGTCGTCAAATAATTTCAATGATCTTATACCGGTATTTTCTATACTAGATATACGTTTATTATCATATGAATCCTTAGGATAGGTTGTATATGTTTCTATATTACTCGGTTGAATATTCATCGATTTAGTATCACTGGTTATTTTACTAAATATTCCGCTTTGATTATTTGAATCCTTTGAAGCAGTTTCAGAAAAACTATCAGGTTTCTTAATGGCTTGTGTAATATGATTTCCTTCACTTGATAAACTCTTTTCTTTATTTGATCTGCTGAAACCTAAATCATCTGAATCATTACCATCTCCGTGATTATTTAATGTTTTGTCCAAATATTTTAAAGGTTTTTTCCTGTTGTTACTTTCAATTGATACACAATTTTTTTCATCTGATCTGTTTGGAGAAGTTTCACTTGAATGAGTATTTCTGTGTTGATTATTTAAGGAATTTCCAGCTGTATATCTGGTTAGAGAACTATACTTTTCTTCACTTGATATAATATTTTTTTCATTTGATCCGCTGGAACTTAATTCATCTGAATCATTACTACCTGGGTGATTATATACTGTTTTGCCCAAATAATTCAAAGGTTTTTTGCTGTTGTTACTTTCATTTGACATAAAATTGTTTTCATTTGATTTGTTTGGAGTAGTTTCACTTGAATTATTGCTCTGTTGATTATTTAATGAATTTTCAGGTGTATGTTTGCTCTGAGGATATTGGTCATCTTCGCTTGATAAACTATTGTTAGCGTTCAAACTTTTAGGACTAGTCATAAATGTATGCTTATTGCTAGGTTGATTATTTAGGGAATTTCCGGCTGTATATTTGCTTTGAGGAATCTGCTTTTCGTTACTCGATAAAATATTTTTTTCATTTGATCTGCTAGTACTTGATTCATCTGAATCATTATTACCTGGGTGATTATTTACTGTTTTGCCCAAATAATTCAATGGTTTTTTGCTGTTGTTACTTTCATTTGTTGCACAATTTTTTTCATCTGATCTGTTTGGAGTATTTTCATTTGAATGATTACTGCTCTGTTGATTATTTAATGAATTTTCAGGTGTATGTTTGCTCTGAGGATATTGGTCTTCTTCACTTGATAAACTATTGTTAGCGTTCAAACTTTTAGGACTAGTCATAAATGTATGCTTATTGCTATGATGATTATTTAGGGAATTTCCGGCTGTATATTTGCTTTGAGGACTCTGCTTTTCGTTACTCGATAAAATATATTTTTCATTTGATCCGCTAGTACTTGATTCATCTGAATCATTATTACCTGGGTGATTATTTACTGTTTTGCCCAAATAATTCAAAGGTTCTTTGCTGTTGTTACTTTCATTTGACATAAAATTGTTTTCATTTGATTTGTCTGGAGTAGTTTCACTTGAATTATTGCTATGTTGATTATTTAATGATTTTTCAGGTGTATGTTTGCTTTGAGAAAATTGGTCTTCTTCACTTGATAAACTATTGTTAGCGTTCAAACTTTTAGGACTAGTCATAAATGTATGCTTATTGCTATGTTGATTATTTAGGGAATTTCCGGCTGTATATTTGCTTTGAGGACTCTGCTTTTCGTTACTCGATAAAATATATTTTTCATTTGATCCGCTAGTACTTGATTCATCTGAATCATTATTACCTGGGTGATTATTTACTGTTTTGCCCAAATAATTCAATGGTTTTTTGCTGTTGTTACTTTCATTTGACATAAAATTATTTTCATTTGATTTGTTTGGAGTAGTTTCACTTGAATTATTGCTATGTTGATTATTTAATGAATTTTCAGGTGTATGTTTGCTTTGAGAAAATTGGTCTTCTTCACTTGATAAACTATTGTTAGCGTTCAAACTTTTAGGACTAGTCATAAATGTATGCTTATTGCTATGTTGATTATTTAGGGAATTTCCGGCTGTATATTTGCTTTGAGGACTCTGCTTTTCGTTACTCGATAAAATATATTTTTCATTTGATCCGCTAGTACTTGATTCATCTGAATCATTATTACCTGGGTGATTATTTACTGTTTTGCCCAAATAATTCAAAGGTTTTTTGCTGTTGTTACTTTCATTTGACATAAAATTGTTTTCATTTGATTTGTTTGGAGTAGTTTCACTTGAATTATTGCTCTGTTGATTATTTAATGATTTTTCAGGTGTATGTTTGCTTTGAGAAAATTGGTCATCTTCACTTGATAAAATATTGTTAGCGTTCAAACTTTTAGGACTAGTCATAAATTTATGCTTATTGCTATGTTGATTATTTAGGGAATTTCCGGCTGTATATTTGCTTTGAGGACTCTGCTTTTCGTTACTCGATAAAATATTTTTTTCATTTGATCTGCTAGTACTTGATTCATCTGAATCATTATTACCTGGGTGATTATTTACTGTTTTGCCCAAATAATTCAATGGTTTTTTGCTGTTGTTACTTTCATTTGTTGCACAATTTTTTTCATCTGATCTGTTTGGAGTATTTTCATTTGAATGATTACTGCTCTGTTGATTATTTAATGAATTTTCAGGTGTATGTTTGCTCTGAGGATATTGGTCTTCTTCACTTGATAAACTATTGTTAGCGTTCAAACTTTTAGGACTAGTCATAAATGTATGCTTATTGCTATGATGATTATTTAGGGAATTTCCGGCTGTATATTTGCTTTGAGGACTCTGCTTTTCGTTACTCGATAAAATATTTTTTTCATTTGATCCGCTAGTACTTGATTCATCTGAATCATTATTACCTGGGTGATTATTTACTGTTTTGCCCAAATAATTCAATGGTTTTTTGCTGTTGTTACTTTCATTTGTTGCACAATTTTTTTCATCTGATCTGTTTGGAGTATTTTCATTTGAATGATTACTGCTCTGTTGATTATTTAATGAATTTTCAGGTGTATGTTTGCTCTGAGGATATTGGTCTTCTTCACTTGATAAACTATTGTTAGCGTTCAAACTTTTAGGACTAGTCATAAATGTATGCTTATTGCTATGATGATTATTTAGGGAATTTCCGGCTGTATATTTGCTTTGAGGACTCTGCTTTTCGTTACTCGATAAAATATATTTTTCATTTGATCCGCTAGTACTTGATTCATCTGAATCATTATTACCTGGGTGATTATTTACTGTTTTGCCCAAATAATTCAATGGTTTTTTGCTGTTGTTACTTTCATTTGTTGCACAATTTTTTTCATCTGATCTGTTTGGAGTATTTTCATTTGAATGATTACTGCTCTGTTGATTATTTAATGAATTTTCAGGTGTATGTTTGCTCTGAGGATATTGGTCTTCTTCACTTGATAAACTATTGTTAGCGTTCAAACTTTTAGGACTAGTCATAAATGTATGCTTATTGCTATGATGATTATTTAGGGAATTTCCGGCTGTATATTTGCTTTGAGGACTCTGCTTTTCGTTACTCGATAAAATATATTTTTCATTTGATCCGCTAGTACTTGATTCATCTGAATCATTATTACCTGGGTGATTATTTACTGTTTTGCCCAAATAATTCAATGGTTTTTTGCTGTTGTTACTTTCATTTGTTGCACAATTTTTTTCATCTGATCTGTTTGGAGTATTTTCATTTGAATGATTACTGCTCTGTTGATTATTTAATGAATTTTCAGGTGTATGTTTGCTCTGAGGATATTGGTCTTCTTCACTTGATAAACTATTGTTAGCGTTCAAACTTTTAGGACTAGTCATAAATGTATGCTTATTGCTATGATGATTATTTAGGGAATTTCCGGCTGTATATTTGCTTTGAGGACTCTGCTTTTCGTTACTCGATAAAATATATTTTTCATTTGATCCGCTAGTACTTGATTCATCTGAATCATTATTACCTGGGTGATTATTTACTGTTTTGCCCAAATAATTCAATGGTTTTTTGCTGTTGTTACTTTCATTTGACATAAAATTATTTTCATTTGATTTGTTTGGAGTAGTTTCACTTGAATTATTGCTATGTTGATTATTTAATGATTTTTCAGGTGTATGTTTGCTTTGAGAAAATTGGTCTTCTTCACTTGATAAACTATTGTTAGCGTTCAAACTTTTAGGACTAGTCATAAATGTATGCTTATTGCTATGTTGATTATTTAGGGAATTTCCGGCTGTATATTTGCTTTGAGGACTCTGCTTTTCGTTACTCGATAAAATATATTTTTCATTTGATCTGCTAGTACTTGATTCATCTGAATCATTATTACCTGGGTGATTATTTACTGTTTTGCCCAAATAATTCAATGGTTTTTTGCTGTTGTTACATTCAATTGTTGCACAATTTTTTTCATCTGATCTGTTTGGAGTATTTTCATTTGAATGATTACTGCTCTGTTGATTATTTAATGAATATCCTATTGTATTAATAGGTTCATAATTATTTGTATTTATATATTCATTTATTGGTAGGGCATTTTTTATATTAAAGTTTTCAATTATATCATTATTAATTAGATCTCTAATAGCATCTTGTAGATATTCTTCTGAATTTTCATAATCAGTTATTATATTATTGATTAACATATCTTGGTTATAATTTTTTTTATATATACTGTCTTGCATTATCGGACTTATGTAATCATTATCAATATTTGGTATACTATTTGGTGTGTTACAAAGGGATTTTTCAGGTTTATACGTGGAACTCTTTAATATATCATCTAAGTAATTGTTTTCTTCTGAATTGGATGAATCACTGACATTGTTAATATTTTGGTTGTTTCTATTTTTTTTCGTATTTTGTTCCATTGATTCTGAACTAGTAACTTCATATTCATTAGACTCATCCCAATTTTCTGAAGATTGCACATTGTATATGTAATTTACATCAAAATTGGTTATATAATCTTGGTTTTCTATTTTATTGAAATAATCCTCACTGGTGATTTCATTTGTAGACTTGTAATTGTACTTTTTATTGATGTTCTGTGTGTTTACATTATTTTGTTTTAAGCTAGTTGAAGGATGTTTGAACTGTGAAATGTTATTTTCTTCTGGTCCATTATCATGGCATGTTGCTGTCCATGTCAACTATAATTATAAATCTAATATTAAATGAATATTTTCTAATTTTGATATCATTATTTCAGTGTATTATACATATTATGATGTAGTTGAGTTATAATACCTTTTACTTTCGATATATTTTTCTAATTTTAAGAATGCTTAATTTAAAACGAAACTTTTCCAGAAAACTTGTAATGACATTTATATTTTATTGAAATAAATAATGAATATTAAAAGTCTTTAGAGAAAAACAATATGAATATAAAAAATGTTAATATCCAAAATATATGACTTCAGGCATTAGTCATTTTCATACACATTAGTACAATTTTTATTATATTGGAACAGTTATAAAGTTTTTGTAGCATCTAGTATAACCCAAGTTTTTTAAATAATAGAATAAAGGCTATGAATTTTAAGAAAATGTTCAAGTAAATGACGCCAATGTTTAGACGAACAAATAAATTTCGGAAAATAATTTCAAACAATATTGATGAAGGCTTTGAACATGAATCAATTTAATACTCAATACAATTGTATTACCTAAATAAACACTAAACACAATATGTCAATTGTTGCTTATAATTTTAAGTATTTTAAGTATTATTGAAATAATACACTATAATTATAATGCAAGAATTTTATATGTGTTAATGTAACTATAATAACAAAAGGTAAAAATTCTATTTTACAAAAAAAATTTTTCCACATTGATATGCCTTCGTTGTTAAGGTTAGCTCTCCTAGTTTCACTAAATTATCACAAAAAAACACAAATTTTATACTCAAAAGTGCAACCCAAAATTCTTTTGGCCTTGGCTAATGTAAAGATGTAGTTTCATCTTTGTATACATATAAACCTAATCTAAGCTGATTTTTTTAATAAAAATATCAACATGATATTGCCTTTGTATTAATACTACCAAAGAAAAAATATGTAGACTAAAGTTGTTAAAATAAGTTTTGCCTTGAAAAATTATTTCTCATGATATAATTCCATTAAATAGATCCGTTTTAAGGATCCATAATCTAAAGAAATTTTAATTTTCGTTCCTAAAGTTTAAATCTTTATACTATCTTCAGAAATTTTTGAGATGAAAAATTTCTAAATAAATTTATATTTTGTTTAAAAGCTGTAGTTTTTAAATTTTCTTCAAAATTTTAAATTTTTTAGTAATTTATTGCATAGTTGTAGAAGGTACATTATCGTACTATTAATACTTTACTTACCACTAGTGTAGCGACTATAGAATATATTCTGTCATGAACTATCATTGTAGCTTGATGTGGCACACGGCAACTATAATGATTGATGATAATTTTCGTGTTACCTTATAGGTAAGTTTGTTTAATTATTTAATTACAGTTGTCATTGATTTTATGTTACATTAAATATGTGGGATCACATAATTACATGAAAAGTAAACAATATGAAAATATAAATACGACTTTTTTTTTTAAATTAGCAATTCTGGTTACTTTTTTATGAGTGATTATTTTTTAAATTATATTGGTAATTTTGTTTATTATGATCTTTATTTGATTTAATACCGCACTTGATCTATTACGCATTTACTAATCAGCTATGAAGTTTTGTGGTTACGCTACTTTGAAAAATTATTCTCAAAAATACGATTTATAATTATTTATTAATTTTGCCATTTAATTTATAAGAGTTAAATTATAATAGCCCTTTGTGGTTACATTAAGAAGTGTCTCATTTATTTACTAACATTTAAGAAAATTTGTTAATTTATTATATTGATTCTAAGATACGCAGATCGTATGTATATAAATATTAACAAATTAGTAAAAAATAATAGAATGTGATAAGAATCATTATTTAACGCACTTTACATTGTTTGTACAAAGAATAATTTATTAAATAGGCCCCTTTTGATTTGATTTTATAACATAAATAAAATAATATTAAAGGATGTTTACATAATCTGAATTGGTAAATTTTTGAATTGGTAGATTTTCTTCAATAAAATTATTTTAAAAAGAATTTCATTAATCTAACCTAAAATTTAAATATTAATAAAATAAATTTGTTTTAATTCACATATTTTTTGTTATATTTAATTGGGATGGCGCAAAAGAATTATTTTACAACTTACTTTTTAGATTGTGATGATAGTTTGACACAGTGCCGTGTTTCCCTCAGCCGCCTATCATGTTATCAACCTATAAGTGTATCGGGATCTGAATAATAATTGCTCGGTTGCATAGAAGTAAGGTTTGTCTCAACAATGCCTTGGGTAATGTTCTTTTTTTTTATTACATGATTTTATTACACTTTGAAGGCCGGTTGTCAATCCCCAGCAGATGTGTTAAGTTATTCTCTTTATCCCTTTATTCATATTAATTAAAGAGAAAAATATTTTAATAAGAAATGCAAAGAAAATATCTCTAAAGGATTGTATTACAATTTCGTTTTTCAAATTTAATTTTAATCTTAAAAGAAAATACATTGTTACATTTTTTACTTATACATAAGTAGTGAGATCCAAAATGATCCTCTTTTAGAGTCATTAAAAATACCTTGTACAGTAAAGACCAAGCATAGTAAGGATTTGGTGTAGTAGACTTAAGTATAGATTGAAATTTGACAGTAATTAACAACACAAGCATAAAATACATTAACGCAATACTTAAAATTCTACCTAAATTTTCAAAAAATGCACATTAAAAAAAAGATGACTATGTTTAATATTACTGAAAAAAGTCTCATTGAGATTTAAGCATTTTTAAAAAAGTTATTACAAAATGAGAAATCTGCGCAATTTTTTACTTTAACTACTTCAATTACATATAGAAGAAAAATTGTCAGGATGTTTTTCTTCTTTATTTTTATGGCACATTATAAAAGCTTTCATTTATTTTAAGAGATATTCCGTACTTATGTAAAACACTTCAAAATAGGTATTTTTTTTACAGAATATTACATGGTTTTTGAATTAAAGCTATTAATATATCGGTTAATTTTTAATTTCTCAAATTAAAGTACATCAAATTAGCTTTAATTTTACATATATATTTATGAGAGATATATTTTTAAAATATTATCAATAATTGAAAAGTAAAAGAAATTGGCATAATATTTAAGGGGGGTTAAACATTTGGCTAATTTTTTTTTCTTTGGTTAAAGTTTGAATTTTCAACTATAGTATGTCGCTAACAAGATAAACAAAAAAACGGTAGCACAGTATGGAAGCGGCAAAGTTGGGACAAGTATAAATGATATCTGACAGTGATTGAAATAACTATCATAAAAAACACTTTGATGCAAATCTGTATATAATAATGTTTAATTTTATGAAATTGGTAGATTATTTCAAAAGCAACAATAACTCTTATTCTCTTAATTTTGTCCCGATTAGTTATTTGATTTATAATTATAATAAATGAATAAATAATAATTATAGTAATCAAATTTAGTATGAAATTGATATTTAATAATTTAATATTGTAATTTTTACGGAGATATTATAAAAATAATAAAGTAGTATAATTCTTTACTTTTAACGCGTATAAAAATTTAAAGGGTTTAATGCAATACTTTTCAATAAAAAATGTTTATTACTTTTAACAAAGTTATTAGTTTTATACACTGGACTACAAGGAACTTTCATTAGAAACAAAAATATACTTTTCTAAATCAACTTTCACGATGTGTTTCCAATGTGCATTTAGACTTTTTCTATCACTTCTAAGTTTTAATATTATTACTTATTATTAAAAAACAAGTATTTACATATAAAAATATAATTAAGTACAAAAAATATTGTTTTAAATTAATACTGATATTGATTATTATGTTAAAAATAAGGGAAATGACATATTTAACCTATTTTTTAATCCTTTAAAGTTGATTTATTGTGAAAGTTTATAATAAAAAAAAATATAATACCATAACTTTTAGTTTAATTTGCAAGTTTGAAATTGACATCATGAAATAGGAAATTTTATGAGAAAAAAAAATGATAACGTTAAGATTAATATGCAGTTAGGAAATTTTATAATTACTATTTATAGTAAATTTATCAGAAAAGCTCAATATTTTTTTGCATTTTTATCGTAATAAATAACTTAAATAGAAATAATAGTAATCATTTCCTAGTGACTTTTTAAAAAACACTTAAAAAAGGCGTTAAAAAAGGTTCTACAATTGAAATATTCAGAACTGAATTAATTTTAATGATTTACTTTAACTAAAAAAACGTATCATTGAAAAAAGTAGGTTAAGTTAGAGCAGAGAAAATAAATGATATCAAAAAATACTTTCTCGCCTTTGCATCGAATCTAAAACTTAAAATATAGTAATATAATTTTAATATGAATAAGAAATTTCTTCTTGCGAGGGGTAACTACGGTGATGGGATCCTTGATCTTTATTGAAATTATTGAATTTAAATGAGATAAAAATCAAAGTAGATAAAAATTAACCTAAAAAGAATTAAGAAAAAAATTCCTTCCCATTCACAGGTTAGAAGCTTGTACACCATGCGCGTAAGACACAAGTGTTACCGACTTGGCAACCGTACGTCGCTTCAGTCGACTGAAAAAAATGGCAATTTAGCCTAATTCAAATTTCAAAGGTTTTATTCTCGACTTAAAAAAGTATAAAATTTAAGTAAGTTTAACTTTCTTTGCTATATCAATTTAATTTATATAATATTTATGAAAATTAGTGTACTCCCCTTACAGGTATTTTAAAATAAAATAAAATATAAAACCCAGAATTTTAACACAAAATAGCATATTTTTGCATACGGTAGTCATTTTCACCAAGAAGACGAGTCAGGAGGTCAAATTTTTTTATGGTGAACGAGGGAATTTTTTTCAATTTTTGAGGGTAGTGTCTTCGACTAGATACGATTTGTGATCCTTTGACGTGTTGTTCATAAAAATCAGTCCAGTGAGAGCTGAGATTGAGTGGTAACAGACACACAAAAAAACACATCATAGTAAAATTAATACCTTCTCAGCTTCGCATCGAAGCTAAAAATCGCTGATACGTATTTCGGAACAATGTTATCATTATCAACGCTAAACACATACTATCCGCAATTTTTTAGTAATATATTTGTCGCTTTTTGAGTTAAATATTTTTAATATTTTTTAATTTAAAATTATTAATATATTTAATATAGTTTTAATTTTAAACAATATTATCTACAAATGATCAATTTTTATTAATTTATTATAACAATTAAAATTTTTTTGGCCATTTCTCTTTACTGTAGGAATGGAGGAAAAATTTTCCAAATCACAGCGCTGACTTCTTCAATTCGGTATTTCATTTTTTTTTTTTTTGTATTTGTACAATTTTATTAATTTCATTTTCATAAATTTTCCTAGTCGAAATGTTACCATCATAAAAAATTATTTTATACTTATATGGGGCCAATTTGATTGCTAATAAAAGCATTTGTTGTATTTAAAAAATTGTAATTTTAAAATTTCTAACAGACTTTTTTTTTTGGGGGGGGGGTTAAATACTATTTTTTAATAGGATTAACACATCTTAAATGAGGAGCTGAAGTACTCCAACATTTCTGATTAAATCTACCTTGAGTAAAAATGTTCGAATACTATGATTTTTTTATGATTCAGACATGATTTTTAATATAATTTATTTCTCTTTTTATATAAAATGCTGATAGAAAATATTTCACGTTGATTCAAGCGTTAAACGTCATAAGGTAATTTATGCATAATGTACATGCTAATCGTAAATAGCAAACAATAATTTAAATATTATTTTACCATAACAAAAATAATATTTGATTAGCCTGGTTAGGTAAAACCATCATCATATCCTAAAAACATAATGCATACTATGTTAAATTTTACATGTAGACATTTTTTAAATATAATTTCGCTTTAGACTGTTTGATAAATTTATATGTATTCTGACATTGGGATTAAAGTACGACACCGGTGTTGAAATTTAATTGTGAGATATATCATAATATTAAAATTATCATGTCACAAAATAATTTTTTTTTAATTTTCACATTTTATATCATAGAAAAAAATTATATAGCCTTCTCGTAAAAAATCTCAATTTTGTAATGAACTCGTAAGAATAATCCATTAATTAAAAAAATGGTACATAATTGTTTTATATTAAATATTTATAAGTAGAATCTCTGAACTTCAAAACAAAAATTATTGGTAATTAGCATTTTCATCATCATCTACTTAGTCTCTATCCAAACTATCTATGGTCGGCTCTATCTTACAATGAATTAACTGTATTTTTCTGTATCGGCTGTCGAATTGATACAATAATATTATAGTTAAAGGAATCAGTAACGCATCAAGTTGTGTATCTGTGTTAAAGATTCCATAGGGTCATACATCCGGGAACTTACAGCGCAGCTTCAGCACAAAGGCGGTGGTCTCTTCTCATAACACGACCAAACCATCTAAGTCTATTTTCTCTCATCTTATCTACGATTGACGCTACACCTATACTTACTCTTATATGCTCATTTCTTATTCTATCTTCTCTAGTCACAGCACTAATCCATCTAAGCATTTTCATCTTTGCTACACTCATTGTCTGCTCTATTATCTTGTCAACCGTCCAACACTCTGAACTATACATCATAGATGGTCTCACTACAGTCTTATAGAATTTACCTTTCAGCGTCATTGGAATTCTTTTATCGCATAACACACCAGATGCTTCTCTCCACTTCAACCACCCGCACTTAATCCTGTGTCTTACATCCTCGCCAATACAATCGCTCTTTTGCACAGCTGATCCTAAATACTTAAAACTTTCCACCTCTCCTATCACGTCCTCGTCTATTGTCACTGAACTCTTTATTTCACCTACCTCGTGTTCTCCTTTATCAATTAGTACTCTAAATACTCTGTCTTACCCGACTTATTCTTAAACTCTTTTCTTCGAGAGCTTATCTCCACACCTCTAGCCTTTGATTAATGTCCTCCTTATTTTCTCCTATTAACACTATATCGTTAGCATACAACATGCACGACGGGACCTTACTTTGAATTTCTGTACTTATTTCATTCATCGCTATTTTTAGTAAGTATAAAACAAAAAACCTAATATTAAAACAAAAAATACAGGAAAACTAGAAAATTCACATCATGTTGTGTTTTATTTTTTTTTTTTATCCAATACTTAAAATTTCGTCAAAACTTGATAAAACACCTTTAACATCATGAAATAATTTTAGGAAATACATACAGAATCAATATGAAAAATTTAAACAATTTTTTTTTTGATGTTCTGTATAATTTTAATTTTTCAAATATTACATGTATATAAAATTTGTGGTTCATTTAAAACGTTTACGGTAAAAAGGGTAAGAACAATTATTTCTAAATTATTTATTATTTCTAAAACATTTCTAAATTAAATTCATATATTTATTAAATATTACCTAATTTATTCTTAGGAAAAACTGTTTTCAACTAAAAAATCTATTATTGTTTCAAAATAGATCTATACTTTAACTTTAGTATGAAAAATTATTAAAATAAATAATAATCTATATACAGACAAATTAGGTTTTTATGACAGGATTATCGAATTTTAATATTATAAATAAGTATAATTATTTATCAGTAAACTATAACTGCTAAAAAAAGTTGTAGTGTAATATTATTTAGATGTCGCGAAATTTTTAAATCATTGCTTAGATGTCTGTATTACTTTTAATGTTAGTCCTTTTGAGTTTTATGTGAAGTATCGTTATTAAAAAATAATAGTTATTTGACCTCGTATAGATTTGACGAGAAGTTCACTTTTTAATATTACTCAACTTGTGTGTTTGGTGTTAGGTATACCAGGTATAATTATCTACTGGTATACCAGTGAATATTTTATTCCTTATAAAATTTTTTTTTGATATAAATTTTAAACTTGCAATTTGAGCTAAAATAATGTTTAAAAGTTCAACATATCAATAAAAAATATTTTATTTTAAGGTTATGATTTCATTGTGTAATTTAGTATAATAAAGAATTTTATACTCGTTTCAATTTGGAGATATTTATTTTGAAAAAAAATTGTTGTAGCAGCCAATTTTTACAGTATTGTAAGTCTGAGATATTTGTCTAAAATTCTATAATTAAAGAGATATATACAATATTTGGTGATTACAAGTTCAACAAGATTAAAATCGTGTTCTTTTGAATTATTGTTCATTTAAATTAGAAAACAGAGAGTTAAAAAATGAATGACAAACACAATAATCATATAGAAAATATTTTAATATGCACAAAAAATTCCTACTCATAAGGGGAGACTACAGTGATAACGTCCTCGATATCCATTGAACTTATTCAATGTAAATAAGATAAAAATCATACGAACTACAAATTTTTTACCCATATCTAAAAAAAATTAAGAAAAGAATGTCAAAAAAATAATTTTATTGAGTGGAGTCCAAACTTCGTACTCCAAGCATATAAAACTATTAAACATTCGACGTAGTCATCGTGCATTACATACATTTGTTGTTAAATAGAACAATTTAATCTAGTTCAAAAATTCAAAGTCGTTTTTCTAAACTAGGAGGTAACATAATCAAAATAGTGAATACAATTCATTAACATCAATGTGGTTAATCGCAAGACAATGATATGGTGATATACATGGGTACAGGCGAATTCACTATATTTGCGTACTAAGGTACACGCGAATCGCTAGGGCCACTGTCTATATAAAAAAACCCAGCACACAGCACAGGGAGGTCGCGGCACAGTGATAATGTAGCATAGTTGGATCAAGTATAATTATATCTGATAGTGATTAAAACCACTATCATAAGAAACGCTTCGATACAAATCATTAGATAGTGTTTAATTTTAAAAAATTGCTGGATTATTCCAAAAGCTACATGATCTCCTATTTCCTTATTTATGATTTATAAGTGTAATATATAAATAAATATATAAAGGAAAATGGTGTTATTTAAAAAAAAAACTAAGTCGTATGTAAGATGTACATAAATACCACAAGTATTGTATTGATCCATACATTTTTAAAAAAGTTATAGTATTTTAAATTTAAAAATGTAAAATATAAAATCGAGAATTTTAACACAAAAATTGCATAGGGTAGCTATTTTCACAGTGAAGACAAAATAAAGTCCGCAATTTTTTACAGTATTATTTACTAACATACGAATTTTTTCATTTAATAATTATTTTTGATTAAAATATACTAAATAAAATTATTCTTATTTTAATAACTACTAATACCATGAAAAAGTTATAGAATAAAAATTTATTTCAGGGGTTTTTTAGGGGTTATTTTTGTTAGTTAAATAGAAATATACAATTATTTTTATTAAATTACAAAAATAATGAACTATACAAAATTTTGTCTGACTGAAAACTAATTTTATAATAATTTAGAGTTAATATAATTTTTAGGTATAGAGAAAAGGGCTTTTACATAAAAGATCTTTATCTGTATGTTATGATATAAATAAAATATTACTAAAATCTACTCATCTCCTTATCTTGTCTATATCTTTAAATACTAATATCTCAAATAAAACAGTTAAAATTTTTTTTGTCTACTTTCCCCATATATAAATAATAATATGTATCATTTTATAAAAATATTTTTTTCTTTTAAAAGTCAACCCCTAAATCTACTTTTAAAAATAATCATTTTTTATAATAAACTTGATAATTATATACAAAAATGAATAAAACTTCATTTATAGAAAGAGTTGTAGGTAGTATTTTAATTTGAACATTAAATACTTAATGACTACACTTTGAAAACTTTTTAAATTTAAGTCTTTAGCATAGGTTCAAGTCAAAAATTATAAATTTCAAGATTTTTTGCTATATTTTATTACTTTTGTACTACATATCTATAAAAAATATTATTTGAATAACAAATAAGAAAAGAAAATGTTGCTCTATCCCCTAACAAATTTATTTTACAATTTAATAATATAAATATAAATAATATAATAATATAAATAAATTAATTAAAAGTATTCCTCCAATTTTTTTTCCAAACCCTAAAAAAAAAAAAATTACATAAATATTAAAGAAAACATATATACACAATAAGCTTACTTAAATAAAATAATGAAAGATGATCATTGATATAAAAATGACTTTTTTTTATACAGTTAAAGCAATTAAATAGCAAATAATGAGAAAAAGATTAGGAAGTTATTAAAAATGCCAATCAAACTTTAAACATCTAAAAATAATTTTTACATTTTTTTATTCTTTAATAACTGTAAGAACTAAAAAAATATTATCGCTATTAGGATCATACTTTAAATAACTTATTAATAATGCAATGGTCTTCCAAATTATTTATTAAAGCGTATAGTTATACATATAAAATTAAATAACATTAAATATATTACCAATGGGCTAACATTAGCGGCATGTCTTTCTACAGGTTGACCTTGTCTGTCTATGATAAATTTTGTAAAGTTCCATTTTATAGCACTGTAAAACAGATTATATTTTGTATTAGTACATAATGTTTTATTGTATATAACTCACAAAGTAAATTTTGGAAAATATTATTTGTAGTATTACACACAGAAATAGTATTGTTAAATTACTTTTTAATTTCTATTGTAAGATTCATTAAATAAGGAGGTAGAATCAAATTAAAAATGATAGAACAAACTTAAATATGTTAAAAAATTCTGATTTCTTAAAAATACAAGAAAATTGTTTTGAGAAGTATTACATTTATAGTATTATATAAATTTTATTAAGTACTAGATGAAAGGAAAAATATAATAAAATTTAAAGTTTATTTATTAAACCTCTACCATCTTGGGATTAATTCTGATATATCCTCAAAACTTGTTTCATTATTTCACAAGTTGCAATTTAAAAATAAAAGCAAGACACTTGTTGAGCTATAATAAAACTATGTATTGAAAGCTTTATAAAAAAAAGTAGTTTATTAATGGTTTCTAAACCTAATAAATAATAATTTTAATACAAAAACTTACTCAGATAATAACCCTTTTTGTTTTTCTTTTAAATATTTCCATAGTGGATGAGCATCGTTGCCATTAACATTAATTTTTTCAAACAAGTCAAACTTTACATTTTTTTTCTCAGCATAACTGCAAATTTTTTCATTATCACCAGGTTCCTATGTAACAGTCATACTAAATATTTTCAGATTGTCATACATAATTTAAAATGTAAAATATACAATAATCATCTTATTATTAAAAATTAACCAAAAAAATATAGATGAATAATTTAATTACTTGAAAGAGACAATGGAAAAAAGCCTAATATTATATTATGTGCAATTGTCTTATTAGCTATATGGATTAACTTATGAAGTTTGATAAAATTAAAAATTTTTATCTTAAAACATTGAAAATTGTTCATTATCATCATTAACCTAACTTCGATACTAATTAAACATTTACATTCATAATGACTAACACATTAAAAAATAAACAAAATTATCTTAAAAATGGATTTTAAAATGTAGTAGAATTTAAAACATGTTAAAAATAAGCATATCCCAAATTCAAGATTTTTTGCACTTATTTGAGACAATTTTCAATCACAGAATTGTACTAAGTTTCATACAGAAATAGTTGATAATTTTAAGAATTAAGTAGTAAGGTTGTAATTTAATAAATCATTACTAATATAATTTTACAAACAAGACTTAATAGTAAATAAAACATTTTATTTATGATTAACAAAACATATTATGTGAATCATTTGAGAAATATTTTTTATAAGATCAAAAATTAAAATAATAATAACCTAGTAATACAGACAAATAAAAACTAATAATACATAAGATATAAATATCTATAATTTACCTGATTTCCAAATTGATTACAAGGAAAAGCCAATATTCTGAGTCCTTTCTCACGATATTTTTCATCCAGTTCAATAAGTTCTTTATAGTGCTTAGTAGTATAGCCACATTGTGAAGCAACATTTACAATTAGTAATACAAAACCTCTACACAATACAAAATTATGTTATTAATTAAATGAGGGTTTACCATGAAATTGTAACCATCATTTATATTGATTTATTGTGTAAATTGTAAAAAATTTGAATGAATATTATGTCTGTTATAATTATTTGATTTTCAATAGGTAACAAAAAACTAAAAAATGTTTTCTGTGGGAAGACCTAAATATGTTTTCTTTATAATTGTAATTAATTTATAGAAATATTTTGATCTATACTATATAAAATTAAGCTAACACTTTTAAAGAATCAATAATATCTTATTTTTTTATAAGTACAATACTGATTGTGAGTAAGATAAAACATGATAACTTTCATTAATCCATTCATTTTTAAACAACTTTATTTCATATGTTAACCTATCAATTTTTTTTATTAAATTGTTATATTTAGTAAAATTACTTATTTGTAAAGATTAAAATGCATATAGGCTTGCACACTGGAATTTTAAATGGATAAAGTAAAATTTATAAAATTATGCATACCAGAGAACACATAATTATGGACATTAATAAATTATTAAAGCATTACTGTTTCCAAGCTTCACCAAAAATTAGTTGTATGTATATTTATAAAAAAAGTAGTATTTTATTATTAAAATTATTTCTTGGTGTAATTGTTTTTATTTAAACTCTTGTTAAATTGATATCATTATTTAAACATTTAACTTTGTGTTTATTAACATTACAACAATATTTAATAATTATAAATAAGCTCTGATTAAGGTGTTGCACAAAGAAATAAATCTTTGGGCTTCAGAATTTTTATTAAATCATAGAATAAAAAAAAAGCTTAAATTATGTCTATTACATAAAGGCCTCATTTCAAATTCGGACTCCAGGGCTCAAAAAATTTTAAATAGGGCTGGACTATTGGATAAGAAAGATTACATAATTATCATTGCAACCACTAAAAAATATACATTTTTTGTTACTAAAAATAAAGATGAAAAATTTGTTTAACGCTTTAATGCTCAAGGCATTAATAGTTTAAGAAAATTCTTATATTTAAAGGATATTATCACTTCTATTTATATTATAATAATATTTGATTCAATAAAAATGGATACTTTACTTGTATTTTTCCAAAGGAACATCTTCTCCTTTAATATTCTTTGCGGTGAAATCATACACGGAACTAGCATTTTTCCAATCGTCAGACATATTTTTAATTGAAAAATTGTTGTTCTACAATAAGAAATATAATACTCAAAAAAATAAACTAATTTAGCAATATTCATGAAAAATCATGGTAAACAAATATTTTCTATGTATATAACTATGAGTTATTAAAGTCATACAAATTAGTATTACTAACTAGTAGAATAAAAAAATTCACAACAAAAGCTATAAAAACAATTAAAATGTAAATTGCACCACTTGTTGAAATGGTGGTCATTGAAATAACTTATCAATATGATGATAACTATTCATGAAGGATTAATAGAGAAAAATAATAGTAATTATTAAATAATTTAATCTAGGATTATTAATATATTATCCTTGTTTCAAAACAGGATAAATAAAAAACGTAATTTTTTGTTTACCCGAAGAGCTGCAGCAGAAACTTGAATTGTTGATATTGGAAAACGCAAAATCCTGAGAGCCATTAAAATGTTGTTGGTTACTATCAGCTGGTTATGGTTATATTTTTTATCGAAATCTCGTAGTGGTAGCTACGGTTATATCACGGCTTTGCATTATTAAGCTGTGTTGAGTGTAATAGTATACTTGTATGAAATCAAATTATATGCCTCTATCTAGCGGTAAATATTTTTACAAATTCGTTTTTTAATTTTATTATTTTTGTTTGTTTTTAGTTTAGTTGAAAATAATAATGTCAAAAAACTAAACTAAAGATTTGTATGGTATTTATGGATTTGGAGAAAGCGTATGATAGAGTACCAAGAGAGGTTCTAAAGTGGGCATTAATGAGAAAAGGAGTCCCGAAAAGGTACATTAATATAATAGAGGATATGTATGATGGCACTTGTACTAGTGTAAAAAGTGTAGGAGTAACAGAAGGTTTTCGGGTAATAGTAGGAGTGTATCATCAGGGTTCTGCTTTAAGCCCTTACTTATTTTCTATAGCGATGGAGGAAATTACTAGAGAAATACAAGGAGAAGTGCCGTGGTGCATGTTATTTGCTGACGATATAGTGTTAATAGAAAAAAATTAATCAAAGGCTAGAGGTGTGGAGATAAGCTCTTGAAGAAAAGGGTTTAAGAATAAGTAGGAGTAAGACAGAGTATGTAGAGTACTAATTGATAAAGGAGAACACGAGGTAGGTGAAATGAAGAGTTCAGTGACAATTTTGATACAATGGTAAGTAAATTATATAAAAATTTGATTAAAAATGAATTTAAAATACTGTAATGTCTTAAGAAACAAATAAAGTATACCCCTATAAATTTTTTTAATATCTATTTGTTTTATTACACTGATTACAAATATGCAATATAATGCTTGCTAAGAATAGTTAAATAATTACTGTATTTTAAAGCTTCATGTAACATATTAGGTCGTGCTCACGGCATTAATATTTATATTAAAATTATTGTTTAAAATGTACAATATCTTACATACCGTAAAATAATTTGTAATTCTGAATACTTGATATTTTTAAAAACATATTTTATAGTAATCAATACCTGTCGGGTCTGATGACCGTCTCGAAAGGAAAGTCTAGCTCAAATATAATCTATTAAACTGTATTCGCCTAGTAAAATTAGACGAGTCGTTGATGATATTCGAATATCGATTGACTAATGCCATGAAATTTTTTCAAATGTTTTGGGTATGAAACGGGTAGCAGCAAAATTTGTTCTAAAATTGTTCAATTTTGAACAAAAAGGAGTGGCTCAGGAGTTACTCAATGAATTCAACGACGATGCAAAATTGCTGAAACGTAATATAACAGGTGGCGAAACTAAGACTCAATTGTCAAATAGATTTATTTCGACTAATGATAACGCCCTCTTTTTGTTATACCACATCGAAAAATGTTTTTTTAATATTACAATGTTAAAAATGGCACTTAGATAAATTTTTGATTTGGCGAATCATTCATGAATTACTGCTTACTTATGTGCAGTCGATGTGTATAAATTTTCTCTCTACGGAAGAGAAAATTGAATACAGACGTTGCAAGTAAAGCAATATCAGGTTGAGATGGATACCGCTTAGCTATTTTAATATCTTTCACACCTGCAATCATTTTCATCACGTTCATATTAATATCATTTATGATAACACAATTTATTTGTTTCTGCATGTTCAGACGTTTTTTATAACAATTATTGACTAATGAGTGAGGGACGTATTTATTATTATGCAAGATACGAATCATTCTATAAAATGCAACTAATGAATCATGATGAGAAAAAGAGGTGCTACTATCGAACGCTTAAATATTAACAGTAAAATAAGGAAATACACCTTCTCAAATTACAGTATTGGTGTACATAAAACCTTAAAAAAGATAAAGAAAAAGGCACAAAACAGTGATAAAGGAAGCGATAAATAATATATATTATCTGGCATCAAAATAGCTTCACTGATATATACTTATTACACTATTCTATAACTATAACTGTTTTAATAGTAAGTGGTGGGAGGAGGTTCCAATTTTTTTGTGAAAATAAAAAGGTATTTTGAGAGGTGGGGCCACAAACACACATCACCTACACCATAGTTTTTGTATCCCTTCTTTTGCCTTGCGACATGTAAAATAGTTGTATTGGGTTATTCGACTATTTGAATTATTAGCTTTTCTGTTGTCTTAATTCTTATTTCAACATGTCTAGATAGTTGAACTTTATTTTAAAATTTATTCTTAGCTTTTCTCTCGTCACGTATAATAGAACTGTAAATCGAACTTCATCAATGTTTTAATTTTTATCCCAAACTATAACCAATTAAATTTAAAAAAAAAATTATTCCATCTAATAATTTAAGTCAAATGTATATATCACTAAGTATTGATAAAACATTTTTTGGTACTCAATGCTCAATTCTGTGACTATTTTCTAATAGTTAATATGTTAATTTTAGAAATTGTTAAATAGAAAAAAATTTTAATTTCTATGATGTTTCATACAAGTTAAATTTTATATAATGCAAAAAACATAGATTCTTAATAAAATACATCTACAAATTTTGAAAGTATTATAGAAAACATCTTTCGTTGTATAAAAATAAATCATTTATCAATTTAATTTAATCATTTTTTAAAATTTATACGACAAATCATCAATTTGCTTGAAATATCATTTTATTGAGTCGAAGTCGCGCACATAGCAATTGTTTTGTAAGTTATTTAAAAATTAAATTAAAAAGAATGTAGCATAAGCTAAAAAGATAATATCTACTAAAATTTTATAAAAATAAATTATTGTTAACATTTATTCCCAATAAAAAAATTAGAAACACTAAGCATTATTTTTAAACACCTATAATATGGTCTATTATTATAAGTCATAAATATATAATTTCGTTATGCCAGTATTTTAAAACAGTTAAAAAAAAATAATACCTTGTTTTCCGACGTATTTTTANAAATCATAAAGAAAAAATTGAATAAATTTTTAAAAAATATATACAGGGTGATTTTTTTATCATAACCCACCCTATTACTTACAGAATAATAATAATTAATACATTTTTTTTTTATTACTATCTTTAGTTACACATTCTTCTTGAATTATTAACTATGTAATACTTTTTAAGTTCATCCCTTATGCCTTGGAGGGAGGTCAACTTTGTTTTTTTAAATGGTAACACGTATTTTTAATTTAATAAAATGTTTGAGTTTTTAATTCAATAGTAAATGGAATTTGAATTTTTAATGAAACTTAATTTGTTTATTAGATATAAACATTTAAAGTTTCAAATTTTTGAGTTAATATATAGGTATAATACACAAGGGATACAAATACAGGTAGCTAATTGATTTTTTATGACATCGATATTAGCAGGTACACAGCATTGTTATTATCAATGATAGTAAGGTACATTGTTGTGAGTTTATAAATACACTAACTGTTAATACAAAAAGTATATCTATTGATAGTCATAATTGATAATAAACAATCCGTGACTGTGATAGCAATATCATAAAAAACCAATTAGCTACCTGTATTTGTAATCCCTTGTGTATTATACCTATATATTAACTCAAAAATTTGAAACTTTAAATGTTTATATCTAATAAACAAATTAAGTTTCATTAAAAATTCAAATTCCATTTACTATTGAATTAAAAACTCAAACATTTTATTAAATTAAAAATATGTGTTACCATTTAAAAAAACAAAGTTGACACCCTTACCAGGCATAAGTGATGAACTTAAAAAGTATTACATAGTTAATAATTCAAGAATAATGTATAACTAAAAATAATAATAAAAAAATTTTTTTTAATTATTATTATTCTGTAAGTAATTGAGTGGGTTATGATAAAAAAATCACCCTGTATATCTAATATATAAATTGTATTAACTATTTAAAATTTTTATGTATTCAATTAAATAAACATATAACATATAACATATAAAAACCAAAGCTACAATTTATTTGAGGCATTTACATATTTTTTATTCGTTGAAATTACAACGTAATAAGAATATATTAATATCATACTGAGTATTTTTTTTTTTTTTTTTAAGTGCTAAAGAGTTTTTTGACTGTCTTTTTTAAACTTACACATCATTTAACTAAAAATAACTATGAAATTGTGTTCAGTTATTTTTCTATTTTTTAGTGTATATTCAATACATTTTTGTAAGGCAAATGTTTCTTATAAAACTTATGTTATTAATGTATTGAACCACATTCGAAATGAAAAAACATTTGAATCATTACAACACATTGTGATTAAAGACACGGCTATTGTAAATCCAATTGATTACTGGGATTTTAATAAACCTGTTACTGATTCTTCAGTCGCATTGACACTCAAATTTATGATACACTTACTAAATTACAGATTCGGCGAGATCCTTCAAGTATTTCAGAATAAATTTTTGTTTGCTATAGAAAATTGTCAAAGATCATTTGATAATCAACAATTTGATAATTTCGTTATATGTGTTCAGCAAATGTATGACACAATAAAAAATTCAAGAACAATGTTTAAAAGCTTGTATGATGCTGTAGAGTTTTTGTATAATTTAGATTTCAAACTTATAGATCCTTTAATAAACGTCCCTGAGTCAACGCTTGAGATTTTTCAAGTTTACAAAGATTTCACTGAGTCGATAGCATCACAAATGCCACCACAATTCGTGGACGAAAATCAAAACCCAAATTATGATATAGTATACAATGTACATATAACCATGACAAATTTTTTCAATAATATATATGTACCAACTACGAGTTCACTTTGCTTGATCAATTATCAATATTGTGGAGTTTTTTCTGAAAATGTACCATTTGATTTATTAATTGTGTATGGTGGCGTAGAAAAGCTTAACGAATTTTCTATTATTTATTCTGATATAACATTAGTTTGTGACGACCTTAATTATTTGTGTACATATGCTATCGAATATATATATAAAACCTTGGGATTTGAAAAATTGTTGTATGAAAATAACAATACGTAAGTTTTACAATGTCATCAAATAGATTTTATGTATAAAGTAATCAATTTACAGGTTAATAAGATCTTAGTGTGTCAGAATATCTGATTGATAGGTCTAAATCATAATTTATTTTATAACTAAACCGTATTTATGTGGCTATTTCTAAAGTCTATATGTAAATTTTAGTATTATTTACGATAGATAAACAATATTGAAATTAATATAAAAACTAGTTCAAACTGTTTTGAAAATGTTATAAAAAATGTATTTAAAAGCTATGAATTTGAAAAATTCTTTTTTATTTCGCGGTATGTTTGCAATGTATATTTTAATATGATATGAACTTGTTTTTACCATATCAACGTAATACCACTAAAAAGTATGTAGTCTAGTATCTTTAATTTATTATTACATTTAAATTTCTTCACCTCTTACGATTTATACTGAATTTTAGCTTCGATGCGAAGCTGAGAAGGTATTGGTTTTACTAAGATGTGTTTTTTTTTTTATTTTTTTTTAATTTTTTTTTTTTTTTTTTTGTGTCTGTTACCACTTTTTCTCAGCTCTCACCGAACGGATTTCTTTCAACGATACGTCAAAAGATCACAAATCGTATCTAGTCGAAGACATTACCCTTCAAAATTGAAAAAATTTCCCTCGTTCCCCGTAAATGGGGGAAACCTCCAAAAAAATTACAAATTTAAAAAACGCTAATTTTCGAATTTTTTTAATTTTTTTAACTAAAAACTGCCCGTAACTTTTTCAAAAATGAACATATCAATATAATTTTTTTTTATATAGATGCTTGATGTCTTTACCTATCATTTGGTATATTTTTTTTGTAAATTTGACCTTTTTTCTGCCCACAGGGGGGGATTTAAAATGACAACTTTTTCACAAAAAATTAACTTTTTCAACTTAACTTTTGAAAATGTTCCGGAAGGTCTGACACTTTTATATATATCTTAAATTAAAGCTAATGTAATATACTTTAATTTGAAAAAAAAAAATTTGACCTCTGGACTTGTCTTCACGGCGAAAATGGCTACCGAATGCTATTTTCGTGTGAAAATTCTCGATTTTATTATTTATATTATATTTAACTTTATAATGCTATAACTTATTGAAAAGTTTATGGATCCACACAATTTTTTTATGAGAAATAATATTTTTTAATAAACCCTTTTTCATTCGACATACTTTATCTTAATCGAGATATTAATAAGGAACCAGCAGATCAAGTAGCTTTTGGAATAAAACACCAATTTTTTTTAAATTAAACACTATCTAAAGATTTGCATCGAAGCGTTTATTTTTGATAGTGATTTTAATCACTGTCAGATATCATTATACTTGATCCAACTATATCACGTCACAACTGTGCCGCGACCCCCCTGTGCTGGGTTTTTTTTAATTTAAATGGGTATAATATATCCACAAAAAATGGTATAAAGTAAATTTTCACTATACATTTTTTTGTTTTAAGTTATAGAATAATAAAAAATCACGTTTAGTTAAGTCAGAGTGTGTAATATGTTATTTAATTGCAATTATAGAAAACAAAATAGTTGACATTTTTTGAAAGGACATTAAAAGGGAAATTAAATTCTAACCCTATCATAATTGTCGAATGAGTTATTCAACAATTAGGTTTTAATACCTTATCCGGTAATCCAGTCAGGTGCCTCAAACAAAGCTGGTGCCAAGAGTAATTTTTTTCTTTTTCATTGTTACATTATTAAAATTAATTTTAACCAGAAAAATAATCTCTAATAACAGTTACGTCTCAAGTCATTTATTAAGTCAATTATTCACTTTGAAACTATTTACTTATTGCAAAATTTTAGACAGATTGTAAATTTTATAATTATAATAAGAAAGAAATTAAAAAATATTTATATATTTATCAGGAGGCTAGAGGGGGTTAGAGGCTCAACACCTAAGCATATAATTAATAATTATGCCTATTTTATGTTTTAAACACATTAATCTAACGTGTTATCATGACCATACTACGGTGATAAACTTAAAAAAATCAGTTTTTTTAGTAATAAGGTATTAAAATATTACTATTATAACAATTTAAAAATTATGTTTTTTATTCTTGTTTAAAACGTTTTATACATTTATGTATAAAATGTTTAAAAGTCAACTATTTGTTTTAAACATTTTGCAATCCTGGCAATTTCTCAATAAATTTTTCATAGTGCTATGAGTTATTAATTAAAACTGTAATTTTTTATCAAAAAAAAAAAAAAACTTGATTTCTTTTAATTAATTACAATATTTTAATCAAACTAATCATTATTTTCTTTACTTAGAATTATACCACCTTTGTTAAATGAGAAAATGTGTCGAGAAAAAGTTATTGTGTTAATAAATAATATAATAAAATATGCAAAACAAGAGTTTCAACACATAAAAATTTTCTCAAGGAAAGACGGTTATATTAGTTCTGAATCTATATTACAAGGTGAGATTAACAACTTCAAAATTTATCGAATTAAACAGATTCAAGTCTCTCAGCTAATACGATGTAGGTTTACTGAAATATTTCAAAATTATTACATAACATTGAATGTTTTAATTAAAATATGTAGCAATAATGAAGTACAAAATAGTTCATTATTCATTGACTATTTAAGTCAACTTTACATTACTATCCAAAAAGCACATATTTTGTTTATTAGTATGCTACCGATTGTGGAAACATTTAAAAATGGATCAACAAGTTTGTTTAATCCTGGACCTAAATGGAGTTTAGAGTTTCAAATTAGGGAGTATGTTAATTTTATTGAAAATTTAAACAATATGATGATAGCAAATACAGAAAATATATACGATGTAAATGGCCTCCCCAATTATAAAAGCATATTTAATTACTACACACAGATTTATAACTTTTGGTCGACTAACGTTTCTATAAATTGGCTTTCATTTTATGAGCGTACGTCTGTATATTGTGAATTACAATCTGACTTCTTTAAAAATCCTGATATAATGACTGATCATTTCTTGAAAAGTAATCCTACAGGTTATCAAGATATAGGAGAAATATTCATTCCCATATGCAATTATTTCACTAAATATGTTGAAATTATTATCGAAAATGACTTAATGAAAATAAGTCTCGAATAAAAAATGTATTTTAAATAAATACTTTGTATTAAATTCCAAAAAAATGTTATTATATTGTTAATTATATCAACCTATGGTATTTGTGGAAAACGCTTTAATTATAAATTGCTAATTTTTTTACTTTTCAAATAATTAAGCTAGAAAAACTTTTTCTTGTTAGTAAAAATTATATCATATTGCTATATAAGAGTTTTTTAGAGAAGTTAATTTAAAAAAAAATTAATTCAATATATACGGGCAATACTACGTGTTAGTATATTTTAACAAAATTTAATTTCTACGTTAATATTATTCAAAAGAAGTTTTTAAATATTTTGGTAAAAAAAAATAAAATCTTTTCTAATGTGCTCTTAATTGATATAGAACGTAATGAAAATTTTTTTTTTTTAATATTTGATTTCTCTACTTGGTTTTTTTTCTATTGTTTATCTAATGCAAACCTAAGTATATAATAAAGAATATAGTTTAATGATGACGAAAAGTTTTTTTTATCATTATTCAATACCTGTAACTCATTGAATTTTGTAAAATAAAGGCACTAATGTAATAACCACATTATGCCTTCAACTATAATATAAAAAAATGTATTTTAAATCAACAAAAAGCTTACAATGTTTAACTGTAAATTGTCTAATGTTTCAAATTTTTGCCTTAGTGCACTGTTAATGCAAAAGAACCAAATCTTGTAAAAAGGTACTTCAAAGTCCCAAACTATGAATCAATTTCATTTTTAGATTAATTGTTTTTTAGCTTCGATGCGAAGCTGAGAAGCTATTGGTTTTACTATGTGTTTTTTTTTTGTGTCTGTTACCACTTTTTCTCAGCTCTCACGGAACCGATTTCTTTCAATGATACGTCAAAAGATCTCAAATCGTATCTAGTCGAAGACATTACCCTTAAAAATTGAAAAAATTTCCCTCGTTCCACGTAAATGGAAGAAATCTCCAAAAATATTACATATTTAAAAATTGCGAATTTTCGTTTTTTTCTTCTTAAAACTACCATAACAATTTCAAAAATTAACAAATCAACTTGATTTTCCAGAAAGACCGACACTTTTATATATATCTTAAATTAAAGCTAATGTAATATACTTTATTATGAAAAAAAAAAATTTCGGACTTCACTTTTATCTTCACGGTGAAAATGGCTACCGAATGCTATTTTTGTGTGAAAATTCTCGATTTTATTTTTTACATTTTTAACTTTATAATGCTGTAACTTATTGAAAAGTGTATGGATCAACACAATTTTTTTATGAGAAATAATATTTTTTAATAATCCCTTTTTCATTTGACATACTGTATCTTATTCAGGATATTAATAAGGAAATAGGAGATCATGTAGCTTTTGGAATAATCCACCAATTTTTTTAAATTAAATACTATCTAAAGATTTGCATAGAAGCGTTTTTTTTTTATAGTGATTTTAATCACTATTAGATATCATTATACTTGATCCAACTATGTTACGCCACCACTGTGCCGCGACTCCACTGAGCTGGGTTTTTTTAATTTGTATTAAGTTAAAATCGAAACTTACAAATAAAGGTTGCATATTAAGATAAAGAATATTAAATTACATTTAATTATACTATAACATTATGGTATAATTTTGTGACATTTTAAGAAAAAATGATACGTATACAGGGGTAGACTTATGATAAAAATACTAAAAAATCTAAAAAAATGAAGATTATTTGACCAGGACTAAATAATTAATAACAATAAATACAAATTTAAAATTGAGAAGTTTAGTATAACACAAAACAATCCCCAAATTCGCATTTAAAAAAATGTCCAAAATAATATCTCAAACCTTAAATAAATAATTACCTCAAATAGACACATGATTTTTTTGTATTATTCTTAAAATGGATAATACCTTATAGTACTAAAGAAATATTTTATTTATTACTCAATTATTAAATTGAGTATATATTTTTTAATAATTAAATAAATATTTTATTTAACTATGAATTAAAAAAAATGTATTTGTAAAGATATTTTTTGTTAAAAATATATGCCATCATAAATTATTTTATTACAGACCTATTTATCATATTAAATAAATCTATAGTAAAAATAATTTATTTAAATTTAAAAAAATTAATAAATAATTGTTGTTACTTATTTGCTTTATTTAAATGTTCAAGTCCCCGTTATGAAAAACATTTTTTGCATACAAAATATTTCTATATATTTCCAAACTGTTCTAACAAATTATTTGTTATAACTTTTATATGTATGTGCAAGAATATACATGTCTTCAGCTTTAGAGCTGTCCTAGATACTTTAATGTGAATAATTGTTAAATTTAAAAACATAAAACACATCGGGATAAAATGTTAAATACTTTTTTCATCTCTATATAGAAAGAGTGTATATCATATATGTTGCTAAACTAAAATAGTAGTAAAATACAAATTATTGTAAAAATTCAACTAGCTAAAAAATCTACACTCAATAGAGATAATAGAATAATACAGATTTATATATTATATAATATAATAGTTATTAGTTATTATATATAGGTGGACAAGAACTATCCATGCACTCATACCTATAGGTTCATTGTGCACATATAAAATAATAAATATACATAAATTCTTATAGACAATATAATGTTAACTACAATTCAAAACAGTACCAGTTGTTTTAATTAAAATTTAATAAATTACCAAATTTAAGATTTTATTATTATTATTATTATTTATAAATAATTTGTTTTTTTTGTTATATTCACATAATTATTATTTTAAGTTAATGTAATTCACGTGATTTTAGGTTTTTATTTATAATTTATAATTGAAGTTTTTATTTTCATTGTATATACAATAAAATTCTAAATGATGTTGACTTTATTTACTGACAGAAAAATATGAGTCTATATAATTTAAAAATATATACACAAGTCAGAGAGCCAAAAGACTTATGAATAATTATTTAAATAATGTTACACTTAAAAATGGTATTTAGGAGTACATACGTTACTAGCACTCAATTTAACATAAAAAAGGTTAATGTATTAGACATTACAATAGAAATTATAAAATAACTGAAGTTATAGCTAAAAAAATATAAAAATTTTTAAACTAAGTTTAGTTGTTATAAATTCAACAATATATTTATATGTTAATGAAAAAATTTCATTACAATAAGTATACAGAAAATTATCTTCTAGGGAAAGATAGGACTGATAGTTTATTATAAAATAAACATTTAAACAGTTGACCGTAAATGATAACAATGATACTACTGTATAGTATTATTACAATAGTAGATACTATTTAAGAATTAAAACTTATTTTAGGGCTATATTGTATATTCAATTTTAGTTGTGGCATGATCTATATTTTCATATGAACTAACTTTATCATTAAAATAAAACGCAGAAATCTAAGATGATATAAAGAGTAACGATAGAGGTAGTACAGGGAGTGGAAGTGAAACTATTTTTGCGAAGTCTGTATCTCGGAATTACTAAAGTTAGAACAGTTTAGTCTTATTGATACGAGTTAGACGGTTGAGCTGAAATATCTCTACCTTACCTTATTTTAGTTTCGATGCGAAGCTGAGAAGGTATTAATTTTACTATGATGTGTTTTTTTTTTTTGTGTCTATTACCACTTTTTCTCAGCTCTTACCGAACCGATTTCTTTCAACGATACGTCAAAAGATCATAAATCGTATCTAGTTGAAGACATTACTACTTTTTTAATAGATATATTATATAATATTAGATATAATTATATAATAAATTAACTAACATAGTTTTAAGTCAAAATAATAATACAAAAACGGCACAAGTGCAATTTTTTAGTTAATTATAGACTGAATAAAAGAAATATATAATTAAAGTATAATTATACTGCTAAAGTATCAAGGTAAGAAGCACCTACCAACAGTATTACCGTAAAATTCATTAATTTAATTTAAGTATGCTATGTATGGCTCATATTGCCTTTAGAATTATTTAAGGGTGATCGTTTATTTAAATTTTCTGAAAGGAATAATGGTTGTGATGAACTCGTGGGTCTGTAGATCTAGTCCATACTCTGGTTTTCATAATGTAAAATCCGCACATGCTACATTTTCACTTTTTATTTAAATGCTTTAAATGCTCTAGAAATAATTGTCCTAATTCACTAAAGACCTAAAATCATTGTAAGAAAACAACTAAAAATGGTTACATTGATATTTCCAAAAAAATTTTTAAATTATTATTGACTTTTTTAGAGAAAAATAATAAAAAATTTGTTTTAACATAAAAATAAAAAAATCGTTAAAAAATATTTACAGTGAAATCAATATCGGATCAAAAGATACAGGAATCAGATATGTTCCACCCGATATATTAATAAATGTTTCTATAGATCGGTGAATAATTGTATATATATTCGATGTCACTAAATAAAACATAAATTTATATATATCAAATTTACTAATAACTTAAAAATTACTACTACACAATAAACCTCTGTAACATATTTAAAGAATAATAAATTTTAAATATTAGTAAAAAAAATATTATTTATAATTATTAGAATCCTAAAAGTGCTTTGAAAATTATTGGTTTTAATGTCATGCACATAATTTTCTGCAAAATGAATTTTAAACTAATTGTTTTATTAGTATTAATTAATTTAGTTTTATCGGGTTTTTGTAAAGTAAATGTACTTTACAAAATGTATGCTACTAAAGTATTAAATCACATTCGAAATGAAAATACTTTAAAATCTTTACAACACATTGTGATTAAAGACACGACCATTGTAAATCCAATTGATTTTTGGGATTTTAATAAACCTGTGACTGCTTCTTCAGCCGTATTGACACTCAAATTTATGATACACTTACTAAATTACAGATTCGGCGAGTTCCTTCAAATATATCACAATAAATTTTTCTTTGTTGTAGACAATTGTCGAAGTATTTTTGACAAACAACAATATGACGATTTTGTTAAATGTGTTCAACAAATGTATGATACAGTAAAAAATTCAAAAACAATGTTTAAATGCTTGTATGATGCTATAGAGTTTTTAAACAATTTAGATTTTAAGCTCGTAGATCCTTTAATTAATGATCCTGAATTAATAATCGAGATTTTTAGAGTTTATAAAGAGTTCACTGAGTTGATAGCTATAAAAAATTCACCGGAATTCGTGGACGCAAATCAAAATCCAAATTATGATGTAGCATTAAATGTACATGACGATATAACAAATTTTTACAATGATATTTCGGTACCTAATATAAGCATACTTAGCATTACAAATAATCAATATTGTGGTGTTTATGTCGATGAAATACCAAATGAGTTATTAATTG